GTATTATAACTTTGATTTTTTTTATGTCACAAGGATATTTATTTATTTAATGGAATATTTATTAGTACTTTATTAATTACAATCTGCTGTACTCTTGTTAATGTTTCTAACTCCCTGAATTTATTTATTTTTCAGTTTTCTAGCCGATTGCTGGTGATCACCAAACTTCCTGGTCCTAAAGATGACTGCTACTCAGAGGAGGACATCACTTGTCTGCTCCACCCCTTTGGGTTTAACTATTCAGTCAATAATCTGTACGTTATCCCTCAAACAGGAACGGTAAGTTGTTAAATGTACATGTTGTTATTAATGCTGTGATAAGTTCATGTAAACGTTTCTTCAGTTTCTGCTGCCCGTCGTTGTAAATCCGGTGAACGGTGTTTGGTTTTGTTCCGTTTCCCGTCAGGCTTTTGCCCTCATGCCGAGTCCGAAGGAGCTGCAGACGGTCCTCAAAGAGGCGTGGGATGGGATTACGTTCAAAGGGTGTGAACTGTGTTTAAGGCCTTGTGATCAGACCTTTTCAATGACACCGGTGAGCAAATAGACAATCACAAAAATGAATTTTACCTTTAAAAAATAAATATAAATGACAAATCTGCCTTTTTTTTATCTCGCATTTAGAAATGTTTGGTTGTTTGTAAATATGTTAAAGAAAAGTTGACCTAAAATAAACATTTAGCAATGATTTATTGGCTTTGTTTTAAAATTAGAGAAACAATTGAATGCATGTTTCTCTRTTTCTGTTTCAGTTTGGGTTTTACAAATCTCTGATGAAACTCATGCTTTTTGTAAGTAAGACGCACAAACTTCACTTCTTCGTAAAGAAATTCAGTCTCAGGTTCTGGTTAGATTTCTCGGCGCTCCTCTCCCAACAGGAAGTGACCGACGACGGCAGCCGAACGGTCTTCCTCGAGGGCATCTCACCCAACGAGACCAAGGAGCTCAGAGAAACTTTCATCAAAAACTTCTCTGTCAGAAACTTCCTGCCTCTGCTCAATAAGGTACGCGCACACACACACGTGCACGCCGTGACGAGTTCGGACGACTTCCCGTTTGACCCGTCGGTGTGTTTTAACAGCTCTACGTAGAATTTGAGTCGATTCATGACGTCGATCTGCTCGGACTCTGKTACAGCCAGCTGGATTATGGCTACAAACACAAACTGTACAGAATGAAATCACCAGACTCTCCCAGTAAATCACCTGGTAAGAGTTTTTTAAAAATAATATTTATTATTATTTTTATTATTTTAGTTGGAAAATTGGACACATGGACATGAAGCAGTACAGCATGGCAGAGAAAGATTCACATTTTAGTTYAAATTTGACCTTTTTTCTTAATGGTTACAAAATTTGATCAACGGGATGTTTAAAAAATAATAATTATGTTCAAAACTCTAATAGAAGCATTCCTAAATTAAATCATTTCATATTGGAATAGATTTTTTATTTTTTTACAATACAGATGCATTAAAAATATAATTTATCTTTTCATTCTTGTCAAATATAAGTAAAGTTTATCATTTTTCAAATGTTTTCATGTTAACGTTAAATAAAGCCATCTTTGTTTTCTCTTCTATCACTGTTGAAACTCCTTCACTTTATTTCTTTCAGATCCAGTGAGCATTGAAAAAATTTGTTAATTTTTTCAACTTTTATTTTATTAAACATGTTAAATATTAGTCCCAACTAAGATTAATGCTAATGCTAATTTCACAAAGAGCTATAATTTAGCCACATTTCAACACACAGCTGAAAATTAGCATAGTAGCAGACAAGAAATCTTTTACAAAATCTGATTTCGAATCCAAAATCCAAAATGGGGTGGCACCTGGGGTGACCAATCAGGTGCCACCCTGGCCACCCCTCTGGCTCCGCCCCTGTTCCGGAGTTGAAAAAACTGGAAATCTTCTCGTCTGTGTTTCTTCATCTCCAGATTCTCTGACGGCTGTGGAGGCCGAAAAGCAAACGGTGCAAAAAGAGATTTCTTTAGTCTGATAAACTTTTATTACTGAGCCTCGGTTTGATGGATTTTTATCCAAATAAGTCCGAAAAATGTAAGTAAACTTTATTTATAAAGTAGATTTCCTGCAGAACTCGACCTTCTTTCCAACAAAAACAGAACTACACTTTGAAAAATACATAAAACTGCACACACACACACACACAAAAAAAAAACAATTCATTAAAAATAATTCAACATTTATTGAAAAATTCATATAAAACAACATTATTTTAAGACYTAATACTCAATTATTAAAAGCATAAATGTATGATTCTTGCCTTTATTTCATCTAGAAGCGGTACACAAATACAAATATYGAACTTTTATTGATTTGAAGCAGATAAATCAACATTTTAATTCTCTTCTGGGTCAAACCTTCCAACAGTAAAGCCAAATGTCCCGCTGGGCACCGTCCCACCATTCTGGATYACCATGAAAACTGCTCCATACGCATTCCCAACCCTCACCCCGTGGTTCAAGATTCCAGGTAAAAACAACACCTAAACTATTTTAAACCTCAGCTCATTTCAAAGCACCGAGTCCAACAAAATCTTCTTTTTAACTCCTAGAATTCACCTTACTTAGTAAAGTCAAGTCTGTTTCGGTAAGAGCCTTCGTCTTCATTCACCTTATTTATTTAGCTTTAAAAGAAACAATATTTTGATGTTTGTTTTTTTATTTAGAATCGAAACTCCCGTTATTTGAAGTCTTTCACCGTCATGCTGACGGGTTTGCCAGAAGAAGGCTACAGTCACGAGGACGTCGCCAAGCTGGTGTGGCCTCATCTGTTCCCCAAGAGCGTTCAGACTCTGTACTCGGACGTGATCGTGCTGCCGATGCAGAGGAGGGTACGGAGCCGACACCAACATGGATTATTAAACAAAAATACTGACCTCCCTCTCGCCAGCTCCTCCTGCTCTCAAACTGTTCCCAGACCAGAGAGGATTATGTAATCCTATATTCTCCAAGCTCCTCCTGGATTCACTAAAGCTGAGCCTGGGCCGCCCRGCAGAGGAAGATCATTTCATCTGCTTATAAAACTTCTTGTYTCTTCTTCCTCTTCAGGCCTTCGTGTTTTTCARCAACWGGTCTTCGTGCAACAATTTCATCCAGGACCACCTGCGCAGACCTGCCACCGTCAATGGCCACGCTCTGAAAGCCTTCCTCGTCTCTGATCTGACGCATCCTGGATCCGAGGTATGGAAACCTGAGCACGTGCTCGTCCGTTCCCCCTCTGTATAAAAACTATAAAATCACAGAAGTGATTAGCATTTCTTAAACAACCACCAGCATCAGATTACAGGGGTTAAAATTCTGCAGTGTCACAACAAACTTCCTTTTATCTCTACAAACAAGAAAGAAAATTATAAATGTCTTCTTATAACCCATGTATYCTAATTTYTTTGCAGATGAGAATCTATCAAAGCATGATGAAACTGACCAACTCTGTGAGTTTATCTCCTCTTTAAAAGTATCTACACCAAATTCTCCAGACTTCTTTTAACCAGTTGCTGTTTGTTTGTTTGTGTTTGATTTTCACAGGATAATTCTGAAAGCTTCTGCATGGACGATCAAATTCTGTTTGTGGAGACCTTCGAGACGTCCATCAGCTTCGTGGTTTCGGTCCTGAAGGTGGTGGCGTCCATCGCTCCTTTCAACAACTACCTCCCGCTGGGCAACAGGGTAATGACGACGCAAAGGAAAATCATGAATAAATATAGAATTAAACGTCCTTTTAATATCCCTGAAGTTAAATGAAAGTTTCTGACTTTTAAATTCAGTTAAAGAAAAAAGAAAATGTATTTTTTTCTGCATCAGATCTACGTMGAGATGAACAATCCCAATGATGTGAACCGAGTGGTTCAGCATCTAGCCACAGTGGATTACTCGTCTCAGAACAACAGATGGTGGGTTGGACTTTGATTTGTCGATTAATCAGAAATGTTAGCAACACTCTGTGTTTCTCATTAAACCCTTTCCCCTCTCCATACAGGTCTGAGGTTGGACGCGTAGAGTCGTGAGTATCTCCATCAGTTTTTTATTTTAGATACTTTAACAACAAGTGTAGATAAACGTTTTTAAATGAGGTTTCTGTTGGGTGTGGGAATATTTAACGCTGATTTATGATCTGCAAAACGCATCGAAATTTKTTCTCGTCAAAAATTGCGTGTTTTTGTTCTTTCTCCACCTCCGAGAACCGATTCTGTAACCTCACCAGACGTGTCCTCTGCAAAGCTGTTGGAAAATATGTAATGTTTTTACAACTTTTCCAGTAAAACTGTTAAAGATAAATACAGTAAATCTCGYAAAATTCACACTGGACAATTTTTGTGCATGATGGAGACAGMGTGGGGACACAGGCGGCTCTTTGWGACTGACSGAGACACTGCCTGTCAAAAKTGGTGGGAGTCTCTTTGTGATGTATGCGTCAGAWAAACCCTTGTTTTTGTTTCTTAAACTCAAGTTTGCGTAATCAGATCTCCCAACAGTTCACAGCTCAGTCAGAGGAAATCCGTAGTTGTCAATTTTGTAAGAAAAGACCATTTTYCAGTGGTAACTAAATAGGGGTGTAAGAAAATATTGATACACTGAAATGTCATAATGTTTCATTTCCTGATACTGTATCGCTTCTCTAAAGCCCTGTATAGATTTTTAATTGAGACTTAAAACGTAAACTTAAAAGCCATTCATTAATTCATTTTTAAGTTGTAATTTAGCCTCCGACCACTAGTTGGCAGCAGCCAGATATTTGTAATATATTTTATGTCTGCCCCATTTTACAAAAAATATACATGTATATAAATAACGAAAAAATGGCAACATATCGCCTTGCATATAGTGTCGCAATATAGCAATACAGTATATCGTATTGCGACCCTGACGTAATAAATCAAATTCTTGCCAGTATACAGCCCTAGTAACTAACCATGTTTCTTCTCTCTGCTTCAGTTTGAGGAGCRTTCAGCWGTACCTGTGGGAAACTGGTRATCTGAGGATCGATCTTAGATTGTTCTTGAAATCTTCAAAGGMCCAGGCTCACAAARAAAGGCGTCAGAACTGCAAACTCGCTCCTGTCACAGCAGTACTCCCTTCAGGATTCACGGTTTCACATTTTGCCAAAGCAGACGGTGCTGCTCTGAAGACTGATGAGAAACCAGAGACCGAGATCTCAAACCCAGAGAGTTGCTCTGCGGATGCAGCTTCTGAGAACTTACCGGACGCTCACAAGTCTCCTGAAAAGGAAGATGAACTCTCAGGAGGTGAGGTGGCAAAACCTGACCCCGAGGGGGGGTCAAAGCTGGAAACACCTTCAGGGGTGGATTCACCTGGAGAGGAAAGCAAGATGGAAGAAAAAGAAGAGAATGCAGAAGAAGTTGTTCAAAAAGATTCTGACCAAACTGCTAACCCAAGCGTCGAAGGGGACGAAAAGATGTCGAATCAGACCCAACCCAAACAAGTTGGTGTCGAACAAGAAACCAAAAACGAGATTTCAGACTCCCCGAAGGACGACGCCGCCGCAGATGAACCGAGCATCACAACGTCTACAGAAGCAGGAAGTGGAAAAACAGAAGCTGAAGATGAGGAACCCAAGAAAGACGACTCCCTCACAGAAAGTAGACCCTCACCCTCCGGAGAGTCACAGGAAGTTGGAGAGAAAGCCCCACAAACACATGTCYCTCTGCAGGAGAGCTGTGAAGCTATGGTTACTGATCCCGGAGAGGAGGAAGGTGCTTACTTGATCATAGATGCTGTCGAGGAAGAGGATGCTGAAGAGGGTCAACCAACAACACAAACACCGAGGAGCGGCGGACYGATGGATCCACCGGAAAAGAAAGTAGAGGAAAAGCCTGACGATGCTGAGAAGATGGACTCGGCCAAAGTCGAACCCATTCCAGAAGCTTCAACGACAGAAGTTTCTGGAAGAAAACGAGCCAAAAGAGGAGTCAAAGTGGGTGAAAAAACRCAGAATCAAGAAACTGCAGCTGAGAGTTCAAACTCGTTAAAGAACGAAGGCGCCGCAGAGGAACCGGTCGTCGCAAGATCTACCCGATCGAGACGAGGGAAAGCCAAGACGGACGCCGAAGACGAAAAAACCATGAAGGACGACGCCCCCACGGGAAGGAAGCCCACACCCAGCAGAGGGAGAACTCCAAAAACAAAAACTCCACAAACACGAGTCCGAGTTCCCGTAGAGGAAACCTCGTCCACCGAGTTGGGCGAAGCCTCGGCCACCGACCTCGGTGAGGAGGAAGGCGCCTACGTGATCATAGACGCTGTCGAGGAAGAGGATGCTGAAGACGAGCCAACAGAAGAAACTACTAAAAGAAATAAAAAACCCTCTGCAGCATCTCAGAGCGAGGACATGTCCTGCGCAGCGGCCGACGAAGACGACCTCTGGCAGATTCTGGACTCGCTCGACGATGGCGCCATGGATGAAGAGCCTCCTGCAGACGAGTCGACGGCCTCTCAGGGCGACAAGAACAGGAAGAGAGCTGAGAAAACAGCCCATAAATCCAAAACAGGTTTGTRTTTTTATTTACTAAACTCCGATTTTAGTCGTTTCTACAGGAAGTGGACGATTTGTAGATGTTTTATTTTGATCTATTTGACAGAAGAGGTTGGAAAGACTGAAGAGGAGGAACACGAACCGATAACCAGAACAAGAGGCCGACCGAGGAAGAAAGCTAGAAAAGCTCCTGGTAACATATTTACCTTTATGACAAAACCTTACTGTAAAATGGTCACAAAGACCAGCCTGTATTTAACCCTCTGCAGTCTCTGCACACGCCCCTCATCCTGGTCACATGACCTATTTTAATCACTCTAACCAGAACTGTACACCACCTCTGAGACCAGGATTATTCTAGTTATCTAAAACTAACTAAATAACGAAAACTGAAACTGAAAAAACATTTTAGTTAACTAAAATAAATAAAAACTGTAATAAAAAGAAAAAACAATAACTAAAACTGTATAACCTTTTAACAAAACTAACTAAAACTAACTGAAATTATAGATAAAACAGCCTTAGTTTTAGTGTTTGTCAATTTATTTTGAGCCGTGTGGATCTTTTTATTTTCTTTTTTTTAATTAAGTAGTTTCACATCAGCTGTGGGCAGCTTACAACACCTCATGTTCTGTAACAACACTTGTTTACAGTCTGTTTCTGCTCAGCATCACCTGCTAAATGACAACAAAAGTCAGGAGAAAGTGTAAAGTCCACTTTGGGATTTCTTTGAATATGACTGTGAGAAAAATCAAAGCAAGTGTCTTGTARTGGAAACAGGTGATAAAACAGGTGGAATTCTTCTCAAGGGAAAAACTGCATGAATCCAGCTCACACAAGCTGGCTAACCATGAGTATCTTGACACGCTAGCGTCTCTCAGTAGCTCCTGTGAAAAACAAACAACAGGTAGCTCCAGGTCGGAGACAACTATTATCATCGTCCTAAAATAGTCACCCAAGACTTTAGTTGGCAAAATTGAGTTACGCCTATTTTAGGAAGGTGTCATTATAATCGACTGATTTAACTAGTGACCTATTAGCTGTTGATTAGTTAACTCACAAGCTTAAGGATGGATTGCCAGATATGTTTATTCAGCTATAAAAAAACTAATACTAGAACTAATAAAAACTAAAAACTAAACTAAAACTAAGCATTAAAAATGTAATAACTAAAATAAACCAGTAAATCCACTGTAAAAACTAAATAAAACTAACTGAATTAAAAGAAAAAAGTCACAACAAAATAAAACTAAACTATAATGAAAAATCCAAAACTATTATAACCTTGTCTGAGACTCTGTTTTAGTTCTAGTTAAAAATAGAGACTTCAAACTTTACATCAGTTTTTAAATTTTGTTGATAGCCCAAGAATAGTATACACCGTTCTTTTGTTTGTTTGTTTTTTTCCTGAAAATGTTATTCTTTCTGAKGTGTGTTGCGTCGCCAGCCTGCAGGAAACAGAAGTCTCATGAAAAAACTCCGCAATCCAACGTCGGTCTCATCTGTCCTTCTAGCTGAAAAAATATAAAGCGCCGATTTCCTTTCTTACCAAGGCCCAACGTTTTTGTCAAGAAGTAAAATATATCTAAAACAGAAGAAAATAAAAAGACCCGAAAATTGAATGAAGTTCGGCAGGGATGGAGACGTGAGAGTAGGACTGAGTAATTTGATTTGTGGTGTTTTACGGGGCTACACACATTTGGATTTTATAGTTAGGGTGTCGATTGTTGTTAGTTTTTAGTTTTATTCCATTTTAATGAGTTTTAGTCAAAACATGGGGATCTTTTAAAGCAGAGGTCTGAATTATATTGAATATTAAAATATTTGCATTTCAATGGAAACGATGCATAAAGCTTTGTTTGTTACATAATGTACGACTGTCAAGATTAGTCTTTATCTTGAAAAGTTGTAAAAAACAATTCATTATAAATTATTTGTGGTTTTCACAATGAAAAAATATTTTTTTCTTGTCGGGTTTTAGAATTGTTGTGTAATTTTAAGTCTGCTGTGTTGATAAAGTAGGTCAAAAGTGAAAAAATGACCACATTCACACACGGAGGCCGCAGTTTAATGAACCGCAGAGCTTTTCACACGTTAACTSTTTCGGCTCTGGTACTACCTCACGTCACAAATAACACCAGAGCTGACAGAAGGTGTCTTAAGTCCCGGCTTAAGCAGGTTGTGAAAAGTTCCCACATRAAGAAAACAAAAACCTCACAGATTTTCTCTTTTTCCACAGTGAGAAAATCCACCAGAACAAAACCAGCGAGTGTTGAGAGAGAAGAAGAAGAAGAGAACGAGTCAACACTTCCTGTTTCAGTCGATTCCTCCTCGACTCCAAACAAAGACTCGTCTGCTCCGTCAGACCTTCAGACAGAGATCCAGGAGCCC